CAGCCCCCTCATCGGCAGCATCGGCGGCTCCCCCTGCTCTCTCAACCTTGGCATCAGCGGCAAATCCTGCTCTGCCACACCCTCCACCGAGCCTCCCTCCCCGCCCCCATACTGCGCCCGCTCACTCTCCGCCGCGCGCGCCATCGCGAGGTACATCGGATGCGGCCGCGGCCTCGGATGCGGCTGCCTCCTCTCCAGCGTCCCGCGCCCCAGCCCCGCGCCCGCGCCCACCTCCCCCTCCCCCTCTTCCCCCTCAGTTCCACCCAGCACCTTGCCCCCGCCCCACGCCGCCTTCCGCACAGCATCAACGGGCGTCCCCCGCCCGCGCGCCGCGCCCGCGGCCCCCGCAGGCGTAATGGGTATATCCGTGAAGAGGTGCCTCAGCACAGGCACGCGCACGCTCGCAAGCGACGGCGGCGGCAAGGGTAGCGGCGGCGGGAGCTGCATCGGCATCTGCTGCTGTGGCGGAAAGGGCCCCTGCTGCTGCGGCGCGATGTAAAACGACGACAGCACGCCGCCCATTCCTGACGTCAAGTCCATCTCCGCGTCCGCGTCCGGGTCGTCGTTTTCGGTGTTGGCGCCGCCGGCGTTTCGGTCTCCCTCCGCGCGCGGGCTGGAAGGGGCGTTGGGGGTGGAGTCGGTGGTATTGATGTTCGGCGAATCAAGCACAAACGACTGCTGCTGCTGCGTAGCATCAAGCTCGAAGCTCTCGTCCTCCCCGCTCCCGCTTCCTTCCCCGCTCCCGTCCCCATCTCCCTCGCTCGCGCTCTCCTCGAGCTCCCAATCATAATACTCCTCGTCCATGAAAAGCAGCGAGTCGGGGTGCGGAAGGCCCCGCGAAGAGAAGTAGTCGTCCGCCTCCTGCGCGACGAGCGAGCGGATAAGGGAGGGCGTGTACCGCTGGCGGCTGTGCGCGATATAAAAAATGGAATGAAATGAGTGTCAGCAAACGTGTTTCAGCACAGGACAGACAGAACAGAAGACCCGCCCAAATAAAATGAAGCGGAATGGAATGGAACGAAACTGCAAAAAGAACCAGACACAAAGAAACAACACTCACACATCCCACACCCGCATCCGACACGCAATCTTCCACGGGCCCCACGTAGTATTCACACACGTCGCCGGGTCAGGCCCCAGATCATCGTCCTGCTTGCGCAGCTGCGGCGCCACTTCGTAGACGAGGTCCTTCCTCGGGCCCCCATTCCCGTTTCCGTTTCCGTTGCCGTTGCCATTTCCGTTTCCGCCATCGGTGGTGGAATCCTCTCGCTGCTCCGCCGGGGCTGAGGACGAAGGATCAGGCGAAAACGGCGAGGACGCAAAGGGCGGAGGAGGCGCAGACGAAACGATACAAAGCGGGCTCCGCCTCCTCATCCGTCCATACTCCTCCTCCGCATACGTATCATCGCTGGCGTACCCGCCCTGTGCGTCCTCCCCCTCCCCCTGCCCCTGCCCCTGCGGCGGCATCTCCACGTCCTCCTGCCCCGCTACTCCACCCCCACCTGTCTGCCCACCCGCCTGCCCAGTAGCATCCCCTTTTATCCGCTCCCCAACCCACCAAACCCTCACCCCCCTCCCCACCGGCACACCCCACTCCCCCTCCCACCTTTCCACCGCCCGCCGGCGCTCCTCCGCCTCCCGCTGGTCCGCGAGCGCGCGCTCCCCCGCGAGGCGCCGCCGCTCGAGCAGCGCGGTCCACTCCACCGCGCGGGAGTGCCGCTCGGCGGGCGTGGGCGGTGGGGGGGCGTAGCGCGAGGTAGAGGGGAACGGGGAGGCGGAGGCGGGGGGGAAGGGCGAGGCGGAGGCGGGGGGGGAGAAGGATGCGGATGCGGGCCCGGGGGCGTACGAAGACGAGGTGCTAAACGGCGACGCGAAGCCGTACCCTGCTGCTGCTGCTAACGCCCCCGCCGAGCCGTACGCCGCCGACCCCGCGCCCGACCCCGACCCCGCGCTCGTCCCCACCGACCCCGAACCCGCGCCCGCCGCACCCGAGCCCGCCGCGCCCGACGCAGACAAACTCGACCCCGACAAGCTCGACAACGAAACGGCGCATGCGGAAGCGGCCAGTCCGGCGACACCGGCGCGATCCCACTCGCCTGGGGGTCCCCGAGGAGCCGCAGCGTGAGCGGGTCGAACGCGTGCGCGAGGGCGCGGTCGCCCATTGTCGATATAGAGGTGGGTATGGATACGGGGCCCGTGGATGTGGAGATGGGTATGGTGGGCCCTGCCCGGGTCCGACTAGGCCCATTCCGCCTGGGGCGCGCGCAGTCCCTGTCCCTGTAATCGATGTCGCCGACGACGGGGCCAACGAGCTGAGCTCCGCCTCGGGCACGAACGCAGCTACCGCCAAAGACGGGGGCGCGAACGGCGAGGGCGCGAAGTCTTCTGGCGAGAGGGCGCGTGTCGACGTACCTGCCCCTGCAGCTGTACCGGTACTGGGACTTGGACTTGGACTGGGAGGCGAAGTCGGACTGGGGCTGGTGGGGCGGGTGCTTGGAGGTTGGGCGGGAGGTGGAATCCAGAAGTCGAAGTGGAGGGGGTAGCAGGAGCTGTATTTGCAACCGAAGCCCCTCCCATCCGTAGCTGCCCGCTCCCGCTCTGAAAATAAGTCGTCAGGACTCTGTCAAAGAGATGGAGATCCGGTGTCACTCACCCTCTTCCCGCGACGGCATATCACGTCTGCGTCTGCGTTTCCCCCGCCCTCCCTCCCCACCCTTCCTCTCGTTCTCGCCCTCGTCTACCGGCAACACCCCCTCCATCCCCGTGTCGTCTCACCCTCCCCCACCTCCCTCTTCACCTCCTTCTCCTTCTTCCCCAACGCACCCACCTTCCCCAACACATCCCACGGCGCCCCCTCCGCGCGCTGCTCCCCGCGCTCCCAACCGGACTCGTCAACGGGCTGCTCAGCGGGGACCCCATCCCCTGCACCCCCGTCGCGAGCCCGAGCATCGGTTTCGCTTTCGGGGACGTCAACGGCTGCTGCTTCGGCGAGGTCAACGGCGATAGTAACCCCGGCGATAGCGACCCCGGCGACAGCAACCCCGGCGTCATATCCTGGACGCGCTCCCGCTCCCCCACCGCCACCCCCATATCGATCTCGTCCAGCCGCCCGGGCGCGGGGCTCGATCCCCTTACGTGCGCATTGCGCGCGTGGGGCGGGTGCGAGGGCGTGGCGCTGCGGAGGGTCATGGGGTTCGCGGTGTTGTTTGGGTTGTTCGTGGCGTTTGAGGAGGCGGGGGAGGAGGTTGAGGGCGGTTTGTTGGAGTTGGTCTGGTACAAAGAATGGGATTTAGTATTACGGTTGTTTGGGGAGAGAGAAAGGGAGAGAGATGGGAGAGACGACGTACAGCACACAGGGAAAACATGTATGTCCTGCAGCCGCGTCGAGCGCCGCGTCGTGCGCGCGCCGGGTGTATTTTTTGTTGTCGTCGCTGTATTTTGTAGTGATGATGATGAGGATGATGAATCGTGCCGTCCGTTGGTGTTCGGGGAATGTCGAGCGGAGGAATTCGAGGCGCGGTCGCGGGCACGTGGAGCGGTAGGAGACGAGGATGACGGCGGCGAGGGGGCTTTGCCTTTGCCTTTCCGTGTCGTTGGTGTTGGGGGCTAAGGGAGAGAAGATGGTTAGTGGGACGAAGGGTAAAAGGAGCATGATGAATATGAAAGGAGGAGCTCCAAGTCGAGGGAGGGCGCTCAATGACGTGTGGAGTTGGGCGCCTATCCGAGTCAGATTGACCCGACCGCCCGCCCACACAGGGGAGGAAGCTGACGCCGAGGCAACACGGGGAGGCACGCCCAGATGGCGTGGTGTCTGCCTGCCAATCCACCCTTTCCTCGGCAGGATAAAACGCCCCACACGACACACGTCGCCACCCAATGCGCAAACGAAGAAACCCAAAGAAAAGGGACGCCACGAAAACAGAAACGAAATCAACACACACCTCAGCCGGACACCGGATCCTCGCGCGCTTGCGCATCGCCCCCCCGTCCTCCTGCACAGGCAAATCCGGGCTCTTGCGCTTCTTCTCCCGAGGCGTAGGCGTCGCAGCTCCCGCCTCACCCGCCGCATGCCCATTCGCAGTCCCAGCCCCGGAACCGGACCCAGCCTGCGCCTTCGCAGACAGCCTCCTCGCCGACGCCGGGCGCAAAATGCGCTGCATCACAGGGGTGCTCGGTGCGTGTCCGTGTCCGTGTGCATGCACGCGCGACGTGCCGCTCGTGCTCGCCACAGGCGCTGGGATTGGTAACGCAAAGCGTGCGCTGCGGCGTGGGCTCGTTTTGCTCCTCGTGTCGGGGGTGATGGTATCGCAGACGTAACCGGCCTCGCTGGGCTTGGTGCGGGGCGGCATCCAAAGGCGGGTAAAATGACTTGCTGCTGCGCCACGCTTCCTGTTTTTGTTCCCTCCTTGTGATGTCCGTCCGTATTCCTGTATCCTGTTCCTTGCACTGGCAGTCCTTCCGCGTGTGACTCTCCAGCCCTCGACTTTGACTTGATGCCGGCGGAGACTTTACTTGCTTGCTGACTGACACACGAGTCCTCTCCAGAAGGCGACGAGCGTCCTGCCAAGCACACACAAATAGACACCACGGAAACTCCGACCACGTGCTCTTCCTCTCCTCGCTCTCCCGCTTTGCTTTGCCCTCCTCCTCTGAATCTGAATGAAGTTTGGAGGATGAGGATGAGGATGAAGGGAGACGCGTACGTACGAAGGAATACCCAATCCACTGATCTACATACCACATACCCATCCATTCAATTCAATTGCCAATCAAATACCCAACTCCTTTCGCTCTTTGCTTGCTTGATCCGTTGGCGCTTTCGTCAACTCAGCCGCGTTTTCGTCGACGTCAACTCAGCCCCAGTCGGACCGCAAATCCAGTATCATTTTTGGTTTGCCAGTCCTGCAAATATTTTTAAATTTATGTTCGCTGAAGCCCTTGTTCGCGGTTCAGCGCTCAGCTGTCAAGGTGACATGCAAAAAAAATTAATCAATGGCTCATGCATTAAGGGGGAATCGAACCCCCGGCGGGTCGATAGATCATGCATGATCACTTTCGTGATGGCAACGACCCAGGTTACCACTACCCCATTAATGCAATAATATGGGTGGGGTGATGGATAGATGGCTCGACAATGGACATTGGTGTCTGGGAAAGAAACGCACTAGTCAATGCTGTCTCGGTAACCCAGACGTTATAGTGTGACCTCGCTGGATCCCTGTAGATTATGATATCTTATCTGGACCATCACGGAATGATCCGATGTTTGACATAAATGATAAGAAAACGAAGCACAGAGATCACACTATAACGTCTGGGGCATTTGGTATCGTAACACCTACCATCCCGTCACACAATGGTGTCACGCTATCCCTCATTCTTGTGTTGTGAATACCTCGGGGCCCTCCAAACATGCTAAACATGTATGAAAGATGAACCTCTGCCTAAAAGAAAGGGCTGGAAATTTTTCCTCGCAGTCCGAGCTCAAATGGAAGGGAACAGCACCGTGAAACCCTGAAAATAGCTGTGATTTTAAACAGCGCGCACCGGCCGAAACAGCAGCAAAAAAATCAGGAAAAAACTGAGAGTGCATGCAAGGACCGGTATTTGTATGTATGAGCAGCCTCCAGCACCAAAAATGGGGGGCAGAAGGGAGGGAAAGGGAGTGTGACGGGATGGTAGGCGTTGCTATACCAAATGCCCCAGACGTTCGGGTGTGATCTCTGTGCTTCGTTTTCTTATCATTTATTCAATCTCCGCCGGATCAATCCGTGGCACTGATAAGATTGTGATCACACCCGAACGTCTGGGTTACCGAGACAGTAGTCAATGTTATTGCCCAAGAAATAGACGTTAGACAATTGGTCGCATGTATAATACTTCCACCGAGATAGGATTTGAATCAGGCCCACCCACTCCAATGAGAATACAAACACGCATTTGAGACAGAAAAAAAATTGCATGTTCAGAGACAGCTGAAGTAGCCTCAGTTTGGATTCAAGGAGCCCGTTTGTGCGTCTGTCAGGTGCGCAGCCAAAAAGGCTAAAAACAACTCAATTGAAAGACTTCCATTAAGGGGGAATTGAACCCCCGGCGGGTCTACACATTTCTTATGGCACAAACAAACAACCCCGGATACCACTACCCCATTGATGCGACAACAGACCTTGGGGATTGAACATGTCTGAAAATGTTCAAGCCCAAGTTTGATCGCCCAAGTATAATTTTTTTGGCAAGAAATAGGGACAGACAATTAAGTTACTCGAATGTGTATGAGATGTTGAGTATTCGTCGGTCCCGGGACAAAGACGAATATCATACAAATTCTCCACCCTGCGATCATTCTGATGATACTTGACGCAGTTTATATAATTATGGGAACACTCAGCAGAAACCTGCCCTTTCGACGCAACCCGAATCAACTCGAGACCTTGGCTGCGAATATGGTTGTTGTCTGAAATTTTTTAACACATTGGAGACGTCGGTTGGAAAAAAATAAATATTCAATACCTAGTCGGAGTCTCTGTCGGTTGGCGTATCAGCAATTCAAACTCCCCTGTAGATCGAGAGTAGTGAGCTGGTTTCGAGCCTACTTGATTCGGAAAATCCTTCTCGATAGCTTCCTCTTAGTGCCTGCCCACTTGCGTTTCTCGTATAATTGTGGCTGTAGCCGACTGACACATCCTTCAATCCACCAAAATTCCAATTTCCGGGGAAGAGAGAAAAACGCAAGTCGTGACTATCAGAGATCAAGATTCAATTTGGACACGCCAATGGCGCTGCAGGAAATCGAGCTGGAGGTACTCGCAGCCACTGAACTGAGGAGCGGGTCCGAGCGCATAGAAGTAAGTTGCTTGGATTGAGAGAACTTGTAGGTTGAAAGAGTCAAAGACAAAGGACGCGGAATCACGGAGTACGGGACGGACCGAGCGGCTGAGATATTCTGGAGCATATCACTGTGCAAGAGGACAAGAAGGAGATGCCAGCGAAAAAATAATACTGGATCTATACCCACAACTTCACGATTTCAAACTCCACACCAAGCAACAATCGGGTTCGACACCACCGCCCTTGGCCTCCGGGACGTGTACGACGCCACGCCGGGACGGCTCTTCCACGAACCCATGTTTCTCCCAAAGCTTGACGGATCCAACATTCGATACGAACGCTTCCGCATGGATCTCAGTGCATCCCATCTGCGGAACAGCCCACTCCTCGAGGAGAACGCGCACCGCCGCAGAGGCTACCCCTTTGCGATGGTACTCCGGGCGCAGGGCAGCTGGAACGAACCAACGAGTAAGCCTCACGCGAAAGGGAGTTATGGTTGTGTCTAGGTATGAGAAGTCGTACCTCCGATCCCGAATACTTTCGGCGAGCGCCACTCCTCCCATGCCTCGCTAACAGGCGTGACGCGCTTGGCGCTATCGCCCGCAGGCCCAAGCGTCACCTGCCCGACGTATTCCTCGCTCCCATCGGGCTTGCGCTCGTGCAGCACGTTAAACGGGCTCGACGCCGCAGGGCGGAATTCGCCCGCCGCATACGAGGCGAACAGCGCAACGACCATCGCGCGCTCGCGCACGAGCCAGCGCTGGGCGTTGATCAGCGGGCTGGGGAACGGCGGGCCGACGATCGTGCGCACGACGCGGAGGTCGTTCTGTGGACAAAATGCAACTCAGCCTTTTGTTCATCATCAAGATTGAAGGGTACCATCATGGCAACGTCGTCTGGAAGGTCGGACTGGCGCATGGCCGCAAGGTAGAAGCGATCTAATGGCGCGGGCAAAGGAATATAGGGCTCGCCGGCGGGGGTGAAACGGATAGGAGTGCGCGCGGAGACTTCGGCACGCAACTCGGTGGACTCGACGGTGAACCGGTCGGGGAGGTGGGCGGCGGGGGAGACTGGTTCAGGAGCAGAGGTCGCCATAGTTGAAGGTGAGATGGAAGTTTGGTTCGTATGCGTAGATTGGCGTCGTGGTGAGAGAACTTGTCAATCTAAGTACTTGTGGCTGTCCGCAAATCGATTTGCATCGATTTGAATTGATTTCTGCGACATAAGTTCGCAAGAGTCGACCTTGTTTATCGATTCGCGCCCGGCCGTGCACAAAGCGAAAATAGATACAGATAGTCGTAGCAAATACAACAAGAAATTTAGGCGCAAGTCGCCATTGGCCCATAGATAAAAGTACAGAACGCGATACTCGATGAAACGGAGCTAAGCAAATACAGCAAGAAATTCATACGTAGGTCGCTATAGGTCAAGGTAAGTACTGAACGCAACAACCGACAAAAGGCAACCAAGTAGATACAACACATATCGCCATAGGCGAAATGTCCAAACGCAGACAAGACAAGAAGACAAAAGAACAAGAAGGAACAGACCGCGCGGAGTGATTCCGCGCTGCAACCACGACTGACGACCGCCCCCAGGCTGACCTAGCAGGAAAAAGTTCAGAGTCAGCTCCAAACTGAACATTTTTTCTGTTCACCTCACTATGACTTGCCAGCTGCGCTATACGCCCGCCTCGACACGACCGCGAGCCAAACCCATTCCCTTCCTGCATCCGGGTTCTCTCCTTTCTCCGGCGCCTTGGCCATTTGCCTCGGGACAATCCACGCCGGCATCACCTGCACCAGCATCGCGTACTCCCCCGGGCTCAAATCCGCCGGCCGTCCGACGATCTTCGGGCCATACAACTCACAATAGTCCATCGGGCCCTGCATCGAGTCCAGGAATTTTTCGTACTCCTGGCGCTGAGCCGCATCGAGTGCGGAGATGTAGTCGATGAGAAGGACCCTGCAGGCTGTGACGATAGGGAGACGGTAGGGATACTTGGCGCTGTCCTCGACGGCGCGGTTGTAGTGCAGGCTGGGTGGAAGCTCGGACGGGATTCCTGAGTGTATATAAATGCGAGTATTCAGAAATTTTAATCAGACGTGACCGAGAAAGAGAGAGACGGGACTTACGAAGGAGCGGAGCAAGCATCGACTTCGACGCACCCTTTTTATCATCCTTCGACGCATCCGCCACCTCTTTCAGAACCGCAACCACACCCTTGACGGCCGTTTTGAACTGATCGTCGATCTCGACGACGGTCGCCGCAGGGAGCCCGTCCACCGGCAAAACGGAGCAGTTCCATTTATGCCCTTTCCAGTCGTTTTTCTGGCATTGCGCGCTCTGCGACGCGATTGGGGTTACATGCACAAAGACGCGAGCGAGGAGAGAATAAATACATACACAATAGAACCGGTTTTTGCACGTCGAGCACCTCTTCAGAGATGCGCTGTCAATGTCTTCTTCCATACACACGCATTCTGTGACCTTTGGCTCTTGCATGCCAAATACTTGCACTTGGTCAGTTCGCAGTCATAAGGAGATCGGCGACCTACGAAGTTACTGTAAGCGCTAAAAAGTTTGGAGATCAGAGTAAGATCAAAGGCAGATTACATAAAATCGATTAGGCGAAATCCGGGTGATCCCGGGTACATACGTTTTTTGACCGGACATCTGCAAAATAAACTCAAGATGCAGGGAGGCAGGCAGGTATCTAGCGACATATATATAGCCAAATGTATGAACCAAACCAAACGAAATTTAATTTGTACACAAAAAAAGAGCGCTCGGAGTCTGCGTAAGGGCAAAGGTTCTTTCAGAGATTGCTAGCGAATCTCCATTATCCCTCCTAGTTTCGTGAAATATGTGAGTCATATTCCAATGAGCAATTCAAAATGTAGACTCCTTCTTACTAGAAGGCCTGCTTATCTCTCTCTTGTCTACCCGAGATACTGCAAGCTCTTCTATGAGGTGGCTCAGCGAATCAGATGAGGGCCAACCACTTGAAGTCATTTGTGAGAACGATCCATCAGGGGACACGCGCAACCAACCGTGGATCCTTTGCTTTCGCCATTATAGTACACACCATCCTACACGAACTCGTATGCTCAATCCTTCAACTCTTCCACCCGCTCGATTGCTTCTTCCATGCCATCGAAGATGCACTGGATGAAGGGGACGTGGTTTCCGTTGTATGCCTGCGCTGCTGTGAGCATCTATGTATGATTTTATCGACGAGAAAAGCAGATTCACCTCGTTGATGGCCT